TTTTCCTAGATTCATACTTCATACATTCCACGTTCTGATTATTAATGGATGTTTGCAGCTGTTTATTCTCATTTTGAGTCATGCTGCATCAGCAGATGAAGGTCCCAAAAGCTTGACTCCATCCATGTCATTAAGGTCAACTCTACTTTGAGGAGGCAGCACTTCCCCAGTTGTATTTTGAGTGCCTTCCAACCTGAGGGGTTCATCTTCTGGCACTATATCAGACAATGTGCCACTGCTATGCTATTCATAAGGTTTTCACTGGCTAATTCTTTTCAGAAGTAGACCACCAGGTCCTTCTTCCTAGTCTGTCTTAGTCTGGAAGCTCAGCTGAAACCTGTCCACCATGGGTGATCCTGCTGATGTTTGAATACTGTTGGCATAGCTTCCAGCATCACAGCAACATGCAAGCCCCCACAGTATGACAAAGTGAGAGGCATGTGGGTGGGAAAAAGTGGAGGAGGGGGTCCTAAAACTGGAAAGAAGATACCAGAGATACTAAATAAAACCAAACCATATCTCAAAAGAGAATTGGCTCAAGTTATATCCTAATAATCCGAGAAGCTAGACTATATAAAGAAGAACAGGGCAGCAGGATTGGAGGAGGACTCATTAATAACCTGCGATATGCAGATGACACAGCCTTGCTTGCTGAAAGTGAAGAAGACTTGAAGCCCTTACTGATGAATGTCAAAGACCTCAGCCATCAGTATGGATTACACCTCCACATAAAGAAAACAAAAATCCTCACAACTAGACCAACAAGCAACATCATGATAAATGGAGAAAAGATTGAGGTTGTCAAGGATTTCATTTTTCTTGGATCCACAATCAACACCCCTGGAAGCAGCAGTCAAGAAATAAAAGGATGCATTGCATTAGGCAATTCGGCTGCAAGAGATCTCTTTAAAGTGTTGAAAAGCAAAGATATTACCTTGAGGACTAAGGTGTGCCTGACCAAAGCCATGGTGTTTTCAGTCGCCTCATATGCATGCAAAAGCTGGACAATGAATAAGGAAGATGGAAGAAGAATTGGATGCCTTTGAATTGTGGTGTTCGTGAAGAATATTGACTATACCATGGACTGCCGAAAGAACGAACAAATCTGTCTTGGAGGAGGTACAACCAGAGTGCTCCTTGGAAGCAAGGATGGCGAGACTGCATCTCACATACTTTGGATATGTTGTCAGGAGGGATCAGTCCCTGGAGAAGGGCATCATGCTTGATAAAGTAGAGGGTCAGTGAAAAAGAGGAAGATACTCAGTAAGATGGATTGACACAGTGGCTGCAACAATGGGCTGAAGCATAGCAACAATTGTGAGGATGGCGCAGGACCGGGCAGTGTTTTGTTCTGTTGTGCATAGGGTTGCTATGAGTCGGAACTGACTTGACAGCACCTAACAACAACAACAACTTCAGGCCTTGCCAAATCATACCTTTACAGCAGTGTCCAGAATAGTTCTCCATTCCTGCCCCTAGATGCTTGCCTCTCCTCTCCAGCCAGGGAGAAAAAAACTAAATTCATCTTCTGGCCACTTTAACATATCACTCAAATCACAATATGATCCCTCTGACCTCGCCAAATCTACTCACTTTCTCAAAAATTGTTTTCCTAACTCTGACACAAACCCTTCAAATACTTGCACATGTCCTGGCTTTCCTGTGAGACCTTCATTAAGAACCTCAAGCTGAAGTGAATGAACACAGGTGTAGACTAACACGAAATGATTCTGTTTCCCAAATGTACCATTTTTTCTTATTACAACTCTTATCACCTTTCAGAACCAGAGTTCTGCAGAACACTAATCCTACCTCATTAACATAGAGGTTAGGATTTACAACACATAGGTAATCACATCAGATCACAAAATAGGGAACAACCACACAATACTGGGAATCATGGTCTAGCCAAGTTAACACACATTTCTGGGGAACACAGTTAAATCCTTAACAGGGCATTCTTGCTTCTATTCACCAGAAGTGTGAGGTGTGGGAAAGCATGTTTCTTTGGTTACCAGGTGCTCTGTTGCCTGCTGGGAGCTTTGTGAAGTTGCTTTCCCGTATTCCCTGTATGGGGTCGTTGCTGGCTATGTTCCAAGATGGTGATGCTGTGCCGTGTTAGTTGGCGGGGAACCTTTACTCTGTATCTCTCCTCATTCTCTGTTTTCTGTCAGTTTCTTCTTCCATTTGGTGTTTGATCTAGTTTTTTCTCCCTTCATTTGATGCTTAGTGTTCTAGGATTGATGTTTGTATCTGCTTTACTTAGTTTATCGGGTCTTTGCTGCAGAGGGATGGTGTGATGCTTCTTTCTAGGTGGCCATGTTGGCCCCGCCTCTTGTTAAAGTCTTTTGATGAACAAGAATTTTTAACTTTTATGAAGTCCCATTTATTTATTTGGTCTTTTGCTCTTTTTACTTTTATTTTTATATTAGATAAAATCCATTGTTGAAAGCTAGGCCTCACAGTGTTGCCCGTGCATGTTCTTCTAAGAATTTTATGGTTTTAGTTTGCACATTTAGTTCCTTAATCCATTTTGAATTTGTTTTTGTGTATGGTGTGAGGAATGGATCCTGTTTCAGTTTTCTGCATGTGGAAATCAAATTTTCCCAGTACCATTTATTGAAGAGACTCTTCTTTCCTCATCGAATGGACTTAGCACCCCTGTCAAAAATCAGTTATCCGTAGATATGTGGATTTATTTCTGGACTCTCATTTCTATTCCATTGGTCTATGTGCCTATTGTTACACCGGTACCAGGCTGTTTTGATTACTCTAGCTGTATAGTATGTTTTAAAATCTGGAGGTATGAGTCCTCCTACTTTGTTCTTTTCTTTCAACATTATTTTAGCTATTCAGGGCCCCTTGCCATTCCATATAAAGTTGAAGATTGGTTTTTCCATTTCTGTAAAGAAGGCTGTTGGAATTTCTATTGGGATTGCACTGAATATATAGATCGCTTTGGGTAGTATTGACATCTTAACAATATTAAGTCGTTCAATCCATGAACATGGAAGATCTTTCCATTTACTTAAGTCTTGTTTAATCTCTTTCAGCAGTGTTTTATAGCTTTCATTGCATAAGTCCTTCACATCCTGGTTAGATTTATTCCTAGGTATTTTATTCTCTTAGATGCTGTTGTAAATGGAATTGTTTCCCTAATTTCCCTTTCAGATTTCTCATTGCTGGTGTATGTATGGAAACTCAACTGAATTTTGTTTGTCAACCTTGTGCCCTGCAACTTTGCTAAAGTCCTTTATTAGCTCTAGAAGTTTTTGTGTGGACTCTTTGGGATTTTCTATATATAGGATCATATTATCTGTGACTAGAGATAATTTTACTCCTTCTTTTCCAATCTGGATACGCTTTATTTCTTTTTCTTGTCTTACTGCTCTGGGGAGGGAATATGTAGATTCTTGAAAATATTCCATATAGGCTTGACAAGAACGTGTATTCTGTAGTTGTTGGGTGCAATGTTCTATATATACTGATTAGTAAATTTTGTTATTTGTCTTGTTCAAGTAGTTTCTAAAAGTCAGACTGTTCAATAGAACTTTCTGTAATGATGGAAATTTTCTCTGTCTACATTGTTAAATATCATAGCCACTAGCCATATGTGGTTATTGAGCACTTGACACATGACTAGCACAACTGAGGAAGTGAGTTTTTAATTTTAGTTAATTTAAACTTGTATTTAAGTGGCCACATGTGATTAGGAGCTATTGTATTGAATAGCACTGTTCTAAATCAAGATGCAATTTATATTTTTGTTTAAATGTGACAATGTGTTCTGTCAACTACTAACAAAGGTTTGCAATCTTCTACTATATAATTGTGGATTTTCTATTTCTCCATGTAATTCTGTTAATTTTTGCTTTGTTATGATTTTGACTATGTATTGAGTGCATAAAAATTCAGAACTGTTCTATATTCCTGTTGAATTGAAACAAGTGACTTTATCTTTGTTAATAATAATTTTTGCCTTCATACCTATTTTGTCTGATATAATATTGCTATACAAGCTTTCTTTTGGTTACTATTTACAAGGTATAACTTTTTTGTACTTTAATATTTTACCTGTTTTAAATAGCATATTGGATTTTTGTGTGTATAAATATAGTCTTACAATTTTTTAATTACTGATATGTTTGGGTTTAAATCTCTCAGGTTATTTTGTGCTTCCTATTTAGTTCATCTGTTTCTTTTTCTTTTCTTGACTTCTTTTGAACTGACTCATTTTCATCATTCCATTTTCCTCCCTCTTCTAGTTTGGAAGTTATAGTCTGTTTCTGTTCTTTTAATAGTTGTCCTTAGATGTTATAATATGCATTCTTATCAGAGTCTATTGTTAATCAATACCCGTATTTTTCTCTACTTAAATACTATTGATATCATGTATTGGATGTAGGCCACACCCCCAAGGAAACTCCCCTTCCAGCTGCTTGGCCGCTCACATCAGATCACAAAATGGAGGAGAACTACACAATATCTGCCAAACCACTGAGAATCATGGCCTAGCCACACTGACACATAACCTCAACCGTCACAGAGTCCTAGACTGTTATTTTTAGGAGAGAATAAACATTCCTTAGTTTGGCCTAGAAAGCCTTTATCTCCCCCTTGTGCTCTGAGTCTTCACCCATAAACTCTCTATGTACTTGTCATTTTAAACTACAGTAGTTACAATTCCTTCTTGTCTCTTACCTCCATGCCTTTGAGGAAGCCATTCCCTTCCCTCTTCCTGGAATTCTCTTTCCTTGTCTCTTCCTGGCTAGCTCTAGCTTGCGCATTAAACTATTACTACCTTCTCTGGGAAAGCTTCCCTGAAAGATCTGGGCCAGACACACATGGAATGGGAGAGGAGAAGGGAATGGAATCAGGGAATATAGGTTGGGTTGTTTTTTTACTCTTACCCAGTATTGTAACTAGTATACAAATATTGCTGATAAGTATTGCTCCCCACTTCTTCTTCCTAATTGCCCCTCCCTTCCTCCTCTTTATAGATCCAGAAAAGAGAAGAGGAAAGGATGTGGACACATCACTCAAAGCCACATTTGAACAACACAAGGATTTAGGTCCTCATGCTGAAGTGGAAGGTTAGCACCCCATCTCATCCCCAAACAGTTCACCTATGGGGTTTAATGACATGGTTCATGATGGTGAGAGGCTCTGTGCGCAGGGCTGGGGGTGGACTGTCTGCTCTTTAGTAATAAACTACTCCATCTAGGATAGTTGAGGTCACTTCTGAAGGCAGGAATGACAGATGACGTATAAAGGTTTCTTCCAGACATGTGCCGCTGAGTCTGGCCTGTCCTGTACAGGGGTTACTATACCTTAAAGAGGACGTGGAAACAGACAAGAAAAGACTAGCAAAACTAAAAGTCGTAAACTAAAGAAGGGATGAGGTTTAGTAATAGCAATCTACAGAATCACCACGTGAGCCCAATTCTGGAGCATCTGAAGTGAGGGGCATGCCTTAAGGCCTGAACATGGGGGATAAATGAAATGGAACCTTAAATGTGTAAGGAATCTTACTGAAATGCCAGTTCAGGCTGAAATTAAACAGACTCACAAAGAGTTTATAAAACATAATGAATAGCAAAATTATACAAGGTCATTGGGGAGATAGACATTTTTGGAGTGTATCTTTAATTTCTGCTATCCACCTCAGGTGGGACAGCCACACTCTTCTCTCAGCTTCCCCAGCCCTGCTGACAGAACTTAGGGCTGTGTGGGCTGTGGGCCTGATTTCACTCAGGCATTTCTGTTGCAATGTGGGGGGAGTCCTCTTAGCACAGGAGCCCTTATCTTTTGCTCTTCCTACTGGGATTGCATAGCTGTGTATCTAGGTTAGTAACTATGGAAACTACTCCCTATTGTGACTTGGCCCTTTAAAACCAAGGGAGCCACCTAGTTCTTACAAGTAGCATGTAAGAGCCATAAGGAGCATTTTTGGTTATCATGGAACATAAAAAAGAAATGGAATCCTGGAACTCGAGTTGAGTAACTTAAAAACTAATACCTTGAAGCTGCTGAGTGATCCCCACAAATTGAAAGCTTTTCCTGAAGCAAGGCGTTAAGATGATTGGGCTAGTCTACAGGGGAGTCACCAGGGGTCATAGAAAAAGCCTGTTAGGCCACAGTGCTTTGTAGCTCTTAGCATTTAATTGAGAGGTTAAATCTCAGAATATTAGGGAAAATAATTGCCTTTGAATAGCTTTAGTTCAATCTTGGTGGCTTTGTTGTTGGTTGCAATGGGATAAACTGTTTGAAAATTATTATGCTAACTTGATTCTGTATTTCTGCTTTAAAAAGTGAAACTTGTGAGTTGAGCTATAATAGTGAAAATATTACTGACTTAACTAAGCATTATGAATTTTTCAAATATTTAAAGTAATGATATGCAAACCTCATCTTAAAGTATTTTCACCTTGTTTTTGCTCTTTTTTTCAAAAGAATTGCCAATGAGAGAAGTAGAAGAAAAACCAGAACAACAAATCAAAACAAAAGAAACTGATAAACTACCCAGTGGGGTTGAACCTCGACAACAACCAAGTGCCTTGTTTGCTAGAGGAAATAGGAAAACAGCCAAAAGCCCTCAAAGATTACCAAGTAAAATAAGAGAAAACAAGCATCCATTTGCTCTTTATGGCTGGGGAGAAAAACAGACAGACACAGGAAGCCAAAAAACTCACAACGTCTGTGCTTCTGCCCCCATGCATGAGGTGGGCCTGTGTTGGTTTGCCTTTCTGCTTTTTCTTTGAGGAATAAACAAGTGTTGGATTATAATCCGATTATAGTCATGCACCACATAGCATCCATTAGGGCAACATCCAACTGCATATACATCCCTGGTCCTATAAGATTATAATAGAACTCAGAAATCCCCATTGGCGAATGGGACATACGGATGTAACTGGACGTAACAAACACAATAGCTTTGCACATGCAACATGTGTATCTCATGTCTCTTGTATACAAAGTGATTGCATTGCCAGTACACATATAACCTATAATACATATGTCTTGATGATCATAATAAATGTCTATGTTACTGGTTTATGTATGTACTGTACAGTTATTTTATCTATCATTATTTTAATGTAAACTTTCCCTACTTAAGTTTACCGTATAACAGTGTATGCTTAGACTCGTAGGTAGCAGCATCCAATCTTGTGTATTGGGCGTCTCTTTAGTGTTGTTGCGTTAGCTCTGTTTAATTTTCTTTCAAAAATATTACTGTGAAGTGCATCATGACTCCCAAATGCAGCAAAACCAGTGCTAGTGACAGCAGCAGCAAGAGGCAAAGGAGAAGTATTGATTTGGAAATGAAACAAAAGATTATCAAGCGACATGAAGGTGGAAAATCAGTGAATGCTGTTGCTTGTGATTTAGGCATGTTCACACAATGTCCAGATCACAAAGTCCTGTGTCACGAAATGTATCATGGGTGTTAAGTGATGCGTGACTATATTGTGTCATATCCCAAGGCATGGGATGCTTTGGGATTGTGGTAGGTCTTAGGTGATGGTGGCCTGAGTCAGGAAAGCCCAGAACTGGGAATCTGATTAACAAACGGGAGGATTCTGAATGTTGGTTTCCCAGCAGGCAAGGGGTTTTGGCTGGGAGTTAGTTAGCATCCAGAAGGGTTTACTGACATCAAGCCAGTGAAGAAGTGGATGAGTCAGGGTTCATGAGTATCTGTGTGGCCAGGAGGAACAGAGAAGGAGCAGAGTGGGGCGGGCGTGGGGTGCTAGGGAGGTGGGGCATAGGGTGGGTGTGGAAGGGAGGGGTTGTGACTGGCTTCTGGAGAGGTATCTGTTTCCTTGGGCTTTGATAACCTAGCATTTCCTTGACTCCTTTGTTATTGGTTTGTCTGTTGGATAACGAGCCCTGGTGACACAGTGGTTAAGTGCTTGGCTGCTAACCAAAAGGTTGGCGGTTTGAACCTACCAGCTGCTCTGTGGGAGAAAGATGTAGCATTCTGCTTCCATAAAGATTTGCAGCCTTGGAAACCCTGTGGGGCAGTTCTACTGTGTCCTGTAGGGTTGCTGTGAGTTGGAAGCCACTCGATGGCAATGGAAATAACCTAATATTTCCTCGACTCCTTTGTTATTGGTTTGTCTGTTAGATGGCTTCTTCTGCAGTTCCAAACAACTCCTATAGAATGCCTTGTGGTTTTCTGATTCAATTTACATTATATGTTTTCTCCTGCTGATACATAACCTAGACTTTTTACTCCAGGTAGTATTAGTTCTTCTCTACTTTAGTCTTGCTGTCACCCCATGTCAAGTCCTGAAACCATTTCAAGTGAGAAGATCCTAATGTGTATAGTCACAAAACAGTGATCTATGTTAGCATCAATACTATTACTAAAGCCTAAAGTAAAGAATGCATTCAAAGAGAAACTGCAAAACTGTTTGATTTCTGATTAAATACTACAATGAAAATTTTACTGAACAGATGATTTTTGACCCTAGCAGATGATGTTATTTTGAGTGATATTTGAGACAACGAAGCTGTAGTTTAACAAAAGACCTCTGACAGTTTTGCCTGGGATTAATTTTAACGGGATCTGTTGTATAATGTCTTAGATGGTAAAATCCCTTGAGGATCTTTTTTTTTTTTTAAGGATACTGCTATAAAACATTTAAAGTTCTTTAATGGAATACTATCCATGCTTAATGCTAAGCAGTTGCAATAATTTTCCATAGTCAATTTCTAGAAGCACATGAAAATTAGTTGCCTACCATTTACATCTGAAATTTAGTCCAGTGGACATACATTTCCTATTGTTTGGTTTCTCTGTCACTGATACTGAGTAAGCCATCACATCCAGTAGGAACGGCTTTTCTAGAAGCTTTTCCTATAGAAGTTTCTCTATACAGGAGAACTAACTGTATATAAAAAGGCCGGGCCTGACTCTTCCTTGTTCCAGAAGATCTGAGGGCAGTTTATTGTGAATATTCTTGAAAATTAGTACAAAAGCCACTTAATTATTATGCTTTTATTTTTAAACTCTTTTTAGATTCATGAATCAGCATTACGAGCCAAGAACAGAAGACAGGTGGAAAAAAGGAAACTGGTTGCTCAGAGGCAGCGTGCCCACTCTGTGGATGTGGAGAAAAACAGAAGGATAAAGCCTTCCTCCTCAGATAACCCGTGGATGACAGAGTACATGAGGTGCTATTCAGCGAGAGCATAAAGACACAGTTGCTTGGACAGCCTCTTTTCAAAAAGTGTAAATGAAAGAAAGAACAAAACAAAACAAACCATCAAGAGAAACCAGACACAGGTTTCAGAAACCAACTGATTATGCAAGGTTTTTCTTAGGGAATTTCCAAAAGATTGTTATATTCTGATGAACCTTGGCCACCTACCTCAACAGTAGGCAGAAGTTGAAGCCATAGACATTTAAAGTTATTCATGAAGATAATTCCCTAAATCTTTGATATTCTTATAAGGGTTTTGTTTTAAAGCATCTTAATCTTTTAAGATACTGACACCAAATGCCTTTAAATGGCTATGGATACATAACATTCAGTATTCCTCTCTAAGTTTAAGTTCAGCCCATTCTGTATAACAACTCAAACTCCATAGCTAGTCAGATCATTCCTCTTGCAGCATAAGACTCATCTTCATTTTGTGCAGTTTTCTTTGTGAAAGAGTTGATAAATACCAAGTGAAAAATGAGTTTCAATAGTAGTATTGACTCCATGTATAATAGAATGAGAACTTTGGTAGTTCTTGAAAAATTATATTTCAGTTCAATACCACTTCATATCGGACACAGTGATATTTTAAGAATTATCTGAGCTGGGTCATCTTTTCTCTTTAAATTATCATCTAGGCACTTCTTAATAGTTCAAATACATTCCAATGAATGAAGCATCAGTGCAATATGTATTTAGAGCATTACTGGAGTTTTTGTTTTTGAGTCAAAGACTGTCTCGTTACCAGCTCTTTTTTTTTTTTTTAGAACACAGTGGGGAGTTAATCATTTGCTGCAGTCTGGCCTCTTGGCATACACCCACCGTGGACTTTTGCCACTTGTATAGGAGCTGGCAATGACACTTAGAATTTATAGCCTGAAATTTTATTTAATTTGTAAATTGAGATTGTCATTAAGGATGTAGGAAAAATATTAAGATACCCTTTAGTGATATTTCCCACCCCTACTTTCTCTTTTTCTTCTACAGAACTTAACAATAGCAAAGTCTAGCTGATGTACAATATTCATAGTTTTGGTTGAAATACATTACCGTTTGATTTTTAAACAGTAGATCTCATATAGAACTCAATGTGAGAGAATGGTGGTGTGTGTATAGGCACAAATGTAAGAACTTAAATGGAGTGTTTCTTCTCTTTGTTATGTTTGCTTTTGGGGTAGAAAAATGGTTTTGAAAATACTGGTTTCCATCAGGTGAGTAAAGTCTTCTCTAGCAGATACAATCTGTGGAATCTATAAGGTGGGTGAGTGCTAAAATTCTTTAATACCTGAAGATGTGTGAATGAAAATTTGGTGTTAGATGTGATACTGAGCATTTCCTTGATATTTTACCCTGGGCTTTGAAGTACTATAGTCAGTTTTTAGAACATAAAATCTTCACATACTGTCATATAAATGTATTAGGTTTTGAGAACTAATACTGAAGAATTGTGAGCTGCTTGTTGTTTTACTTTTTAAATATTTGCATTGTGTTGAGACGAATGCTTTTACATAGCGAGCTCTCCTAATCATTGAGGTGTATATTTAATAAGAGGAAATGTTAATTCTATGTGTTGTCCAAAACAGCCTTGCTAGTAATTTTGGTGTTATTGCTATTAAAGTCTTTAAACATTACAGGTACCTAAAAATCAAATTAATGTGGCAATTTGTGCTGGTGTAACTGATTGTGAAACCGTTACATTAAACCACTTCTTGCATGTTAGGTTTTAGCCATTAAACTCAAGCTTTTCATGTTGCATCTGACAGTCCTAGGAAAGATGGCCTCGAGGAGTGATTTACGCCGCACACTCATGGACTGCTTTAGAAACCAGACTTTCTCTTAGGCTTTCAACAAGCCAGCCTTTCTGTAGTTTAGGAAACAGAGTCATATTTAATGTGCAACTACTGAAAACCCCACAGAGAGAGAGAGAAAACCCAGAAGGCAATATTGGTCCATTTTTTCCCCTTCTTTTTAAGTAGAGGACAAATTAACAAGATTTTGAAAGTACTTTTGATATTCATGAGCAACCAATGAATCAATATGAATTAATTATGAGTCCCCCTCCATTGTTGGTTAGGGTTTCTTTTCTTTTTTTAGGGGTGAAAATTACCTTTTGAACCTATGAAACTTTTAAAGTTTTAACAATTTTATGGTCCTACTTTTTTCTTCTCATTCTAGAAACTAACGTGGTTGTAATCATGTTCATTATTCTTGGGACAACTTGCGAGACAGTGAGATAGTTTAAAATTATATTTCATGTTGAAAAGGTTTGAAACTATTTGGGAATCCAGTGATATTTGACATATAGAATAAAATATATAAGACTCTTTTTAAATTTGGTTTTAAGTTCTTAATTAAAACAGTTTGCCATAAGTAATGCTATTTGTTCTTTTGTGTTTCTTTTTCAGTAAAAGCAGTAGTAGAATATTGAAGTAATAACTTCTGTTGGACCCAAGTGAGTCAGAATCAGAATCTATTCCTTCTTTTAAAGCCCCAGAGACTGCATTTATTAAGAAGGTGTCAAAATACTTGGTACCTCTGGTTATAGGTATACTTTTTCTGCCTTATAAAATTTCTAAGCACATTTATACATTGTTTTTTACTAAAGGCATAATAGGGTATAGGTTACCTTAATTGCTCACATGCAGGCGGCATATATTATGCCATGTGAAAGCTTTGTCATGTGTTTCATTAAAGATGGATTGCTAGTGACATGGAGGGTGGGCCTGCCTGCTCACTTGAGCCTTCCCCAGTGAACTACGTTGCCACGGGTCAAGCACAGTGGCTGCTGAGTTACCAGAAGATGTAACTTCCAAAGAGAATTCTGCACAATTTACAGGTTTTTTTTTAAAAAAACTTTAAGGTATTCCCTATCTTTAAATTGATATTGTTGTACTGGGCCTAGACTTTGTAAATGAAATGCTGTAGTACTTGATACTTAAAACATTCGTAAGTATTACTGGCAAGGGGATGGGGGAGGCAAAGTATATATTAGAAGTAAAAACACGTTTTCTTATTAAATTGGCTGCTTCATTAAAAAACAGTTTAATGGAAAGTTTTACATTTTGCTGGATTAGATAATGGTGGTGCTAAGAATATAGCCTGATTCTGTAGTTTGGTATCAAATGGCTAATGCCTGGCCCATCTAAGGTCCTTACTATAGCCTTGTGACCAGTTAAATAATATTTAAAAAAGGATCCTAAAAATGACCTGGTCATTCCAAAATGTTTGTATTTGAAAATGGATTTTTGTACAATAGAATGAATAGGGAGTTATTGAGTGTAAGGCTCTGCTTAATACAAACCCTATGCAAGGAGCTATGTCTAGATATTTGGCCCCAAATTTACTCCCTTCAAGCCTGCTAGTGTGAGATGGAAAAAAAGTTGTTTTTTAGTGTTTATTTCCATTTTGAAATTCAGGACACCTGAATGAAGACATCAGAGGCATCTTTTTGAATTTCTTTTATAATTAGCAGAACTGTATTTAGGAAAAATCTCCCCATGTATGTGTTAATATATTTTGTCTTGAGCACTGCATTCACTTTAAATTTCTGAAGGAACAAAGGCTAGGCACATACAATCACAAAGCTCAGGCAATGGGAATTTTGTGTTGTATTTTCTAAGAACTGTGTATTGTTTTTAACTTATATTTGATATTGCATTTATTTGGAAAAATGTGAATAAAGTTAATATTACAGGCTGAGACTTCTATTTTGTGGGAAATAATTCTGATTAGTATATAAATGGTATGAAGAAATGTAGGTTCCCATTGACTCCTGAATAGATTTTTCATTAGATAAATGTCTGACAAGGTACATTAGATACATCTTGGAAAAAAGATACTTTCTGTATGGAGACTATATAGGAACTATGATTTTTCCTAGTCTTATCCCTTACAGCTTATTGTTTTGGAAAATTACAAAATAGTGCATGGCTAAAGTAATTAAAAAAGAAGTATGGAATAAAAAGTGAAAGTTCTCCTTCAACACCACTCCCTCACAAAAATTCTACTCCCCTTCTCTGAGGAAACCAGTGTTAAGTTCTGTATGTAAACTTCCAGACCTTTTCTTTAAGCATTTATCTATAGAGTTACACACACACACACACATACATATTTTTGCACAAATATGGGATAATGCTATACACATTCTATGTATATATTTTCACTTACTACCTTAGAAAAGGTTCTGGTTCCAGGTAAGATGAAGTAAACACATACCACCCTTTTGCTCCCACTGAACACAACTATAAACCTGGATAGAAGGCATGGCACAGCTGTTTGAGGACTCTGAAAAGCTAATGGCAACACACAGATAAGGAGGGACATCAGAATTCTAAGCAGCACTGAAGTGGCAGGTTTACGTTTTTGTTTGTTTCCCTTCCTGAACACACAGAAGTGAGTGGGATGCAGAAGTGAGCGCTGGTGCCAAGATCCAAGAGAAGCCTGGCTCTAAGCAGAAGAAGCAAAACAAAACAAACCTGTTGTAGTCAAGTCAGTTCTGATTTATAGCAACCCTATAGGGCAGAGTAGAGCTGCCCCATAGGGTTTCCAAGGAGCAGCTGGTAGATTCAAACTGCCCATCTTTTAGTTAGCAGCCGAGCTCTTGACCACTGCACCACCAGGGCTCCCTAAGCAGAAAAGGAACTCCTAAAGCTCGGAAAGATGGAGGAAATGCCCGCCCCGCCCTGTTTCTTGTTTTTCTCGCCATTTTTCATGCTAGAGCCCCCAGGTAACCCCGTAACTGCCAGTGAGAGCCTGCAGAAGCTGAATGTCTGCGGGAGGGGAACTTCATCTCCATTTGGTAGAGCTGCAGCACCAAGACGGTGGGGCCAAACTTACTTGCTTTTTTTTCCTCTGTCTTCTGCCACATGGTTCAATTACAAACGAGGGTAGTTTCTGGCTGGAGGACGGAAAAAAAGGGGAGCCCCAGGGAACCACAAAGTACTGGAAAGATAGTAGAGAGGGAAGAGCTCAGGAAAGTGACTCCACAGAGTTTTTTTAATGAATTCTTGGCCTCATCTCCAATCTGTTCACCCTGCTCACAGGTGGAGTAGATCCTAATTAACATAGCACAGACTTAGAGAACTGAGCCAACAGACCTCTGCTCAGGTCCCAGACTGACCACAAGATGGTGCACACATGGGACAAATACAAATAGCACAGCAAAGCTTTGAAAACTGAACTGACATTGGAGCCAATACCCACAGAAGGTGGGCTGGAATTGTGGCCTGCTAAAACAAAAATATCAACATTTCCCACAGGATTTAAAGAAGAGCCTGGATCTCATCATATTAAAAATGTCTATGATACAATCTCAAATTACTCAGCATGTTAAGAACCATGAAAATAATAATATAAAGAAGAACCAAATGAAAGTTTTAGAACTGAAAAATAGTATAAATTTAAAAAAACTCACTGAATGGACTAAAAACCAGAATGGAGATGACAGAAGAGGTCAATAAAAATCATTAAGCTGAACAACAGACAGATAAAAGATTTAAAAAAAGTCTCATGGACCTGTGAGACAATAACAAAAGGTCTACCAGTCATGTCATAGGAGTCACAGAAGGATAAGAGAAAGAGTGCAGTGCTTAAAAAATATTTGCAGAAATAATAGCTGAAAACCTCCCCAGTTTGGTGAAAGACATAAACCTTACAGATTCAAGAAGATATGTGAATCCCAAACAGGATAAACCCAAAGAAATTCACGCCCAGACCATAAACTGCTGAAAACTAAAAAGACACCTTGAAAGTAGCCAGGGCAAAGTGATGAGAAACAACAATTCAAATGACAGTGAATTTTTCATCAAAAACCATGGAGTCTAGAAGGAAGTGGCACAGTATTTCCTAAAGTGCTACAAGAAAGTAACTGTCAACTCAGAATTCTATATTCAATGAAATATCCCTCAGGAATGAAGGTGGAATAGACATTCTCAGATGCAGGAAAACTTAATAATCCATAGCCAGCAGATCTGCTCTAAAGGAAGCTCTTCAGACAAGAGAATACCAGAAGGAAACTTGGAGCATCAGGAATGAAGAATCAGCAAAGAAATGTTATATATCTGGTTTAATAGAACAGTTCTTTACAACATATTTGATGACTGAAAGCAAAAAATATAACATTGTCTGATGGGGTTTTCAATGAATGTGGTGGTGGTGTTAGTTGCTGTTCAATGGTTCTGACTCATAGTAACGCTACGTACAACAGAACGAAACACTGACTGGTCCTGCGCCATCCTCACAATCGTTATGCTTGAGCTCTTTGTTGCAGCCACTGTGTCAGTCCATCTCATTGAGGGTCTTCTTTTTTGGCTGACTCTCCACTCTACTAAGCATGATGTCCTTCTCCAGGGACTGATCCCTCCTGATAGCATGTCCAAAGTACTTGACGTGAAGTTTCGCCATTCTTGCTTCTAAGGAGCATTCTGGCTGTACTTCTTCCAAGACAGATTTGTTTGTCCTTCTGGCAGTCCGTGGTATATTCAATGTTCTTTGCCGACACCATAATTGAAAGGTGTCAATTCTTCTTTGGTCTTTCTTATTCTTTGACCAGCTTTCCCATGCATATGAGGCAATTGAAAGTATCATGGCTTGAGTTGGGCGCACCTTAACCCTTAAAGTGACTTCTTTGCCTTTCAACACTTTAAAGAGCTCTTTTGCAGCAGATCTGCTCAATGCAACACATCGTTTGATTTCCTGACTGCTGCTCCCGTGGATGTTGATTGTGGATACAAGTAAAATGAAATCATTGACAACCTCAATCTTTTCTCCATTTATCATGATGTTGCTTATTGGTCCAGTTGTGAAGATTTATGTTTTCTTTATGTAGAGGTGTAATCCATACTGAAGGCTTATAGCAGTAAGTGCTTCAAGTCCTCTTCACTTTCCGCAAGCAAGGTTATGTAGATGTGTTATATAAGAAAATAGAGCATAAAGGTGGGGGGAATAGAGGGATCTACATGATGGTAAGATTTCAACATTCCAACTGAAGTGATAAAAAGAATGGATTTAAATAGACTGTAAAATGTAAGTACTTTGTAATTCCTCAATTATACAAAAAGATATAGTCAAAATCACAATAAATTAAAACTGAACACTAAAGACAGTTCAAATTACCCAAAGAAGGCAGGAAAGGGGAAACTAATTACATTAAATATAAATGATGTAAACACCAATTAAAACAGATTGTCAGAATGGATTAAAAGAAAACCATGATCCAACTATATGTCTTCTAGAAACTTATTTCAAATATAATCATATAAGTAGGTTGATAGTGGAATAATGGAAAAAGTTATACCATGCAAACAATTTAAAAATAAAGCTGTAGTGGTTGTATTAATAAAAGACAAAGTTGACTTCAGAGCAAAGGAAATTACCAGGGATAAAATTGGACATTATGTATTGATAAAAAGGGTCCCTAGGTGGCACAAATGGTTTGTGCTTGACTGCTAACCTCGAACCCACCCAGCAGCATTGCGAAAGAAAGACCTGGCAATATCCTGTGAAGATTACAGCCAAGAAAACCCTATGGAGTTCTATTCTGTCACACATGAGGTTGCCATGAGTTGGCACTGACTTAATGGCAATGGGTTTGTTTTTAGTATATTGAAAAAAGGGTCAATTCACCAAGAAGATGTACATTCTCAAATGTGTATGTAGCAACAGAGCTTCAAAATATACAAAGCAAATCTGACAAAGCTGAAAAGAGAAATAGACAAATTCACAATTATAGTTGATTTCAACACTTCCATCAGTAACAGAACTAGTAGGCAGAAAATCAGCAAGAATATAGAAGAACTGAACACCACTATCAATTAAATGGCTCTGACATTTATAGAAAACTCCACCCAACAACAACAGCATACACGTTCCTTCAAGTGCAATGTATCCTGGTTTATAAAATAAACCTTGACAAATGTAAAATAACTGAAATCATACAACGTATGTTGTCTGACCATAATGTATTAAATTAGAAATCAGTTAACAGAAAGACAACAGGAAAATCTCAAATTGCTTGGAAATTAAACAATGTGCTGTTAATCCACCAGTCACTGAGGCGGTCTCAAGAAAAATTAGAAAGTATTTTAAACTGAAGGGAAATAACACAACATCTCAAAATTTGTGGGCACTTGTCTCAGATCAATAATCTAAGCTTCTGATTTAAGAAACTATAGAAGGATGAGCAAACTAAACCCAAATCAAGCAGAATGAAAGAAAAAGTAGAGCAGAAATCAAAATTGGAAACAAAAATAGAGAAAATTAATGAAACCAAAAGCTGGTTCTTTGAAAAGATAAAAAAAATTGATAAACCTCTAGCAAGAAATACATTACCAATATGAAGAATAAAATGTAGTTAATTTATATTTCCCTGATTATTAGTGAGGTTAACATCATTTTCATATTTATCAGTCGTCTTTATTTATTCTATGAATGACCTGTTAGTGCTTTTCCCATCTTTTGCTTTGAAAATTATTTTGGGAAAGTACAGTGCCTTTTTAGTGGATTTCTTTTTTTCTACTGACTTGTCAGGACTTCTATATACCTTTGGTAGTAATCAATTAAATATGTTGCAAATACTTTCTCATAGCCCATTGCATAACTTTGTTTTTTTGTCATGAGAAAATATTAATTTTCATAGTAAAAATGAAAATTAAATTTTTTCTTTACAGATTCAGGATTTTGTGTCACCTTTAGAATGACTCACCCAGAGATCATAAAAAATAAAATAAAAATCTGTATCTTCCTCCAATGCTTTTATAAATCTTGCCTTTTGCTTTTAGCTCATTAATCAACTGGGATTAATTTTTTTTTGTGAACATGAAGTAGGCATCCAGTCTCTATGGGTAGCAAATGGACTTACCATTCATCAAACAATCCTTAAACACCAAAAAACCAAACCCATTGATTCTGACTCATAGCGACCCTATAGGACAGAGTAGAAGTGCCCCATAGGGTTTCCAAGGCTGAAATCCTTACTGGGAGCCCTGGTGGCACAGTGGTTAGGAGCTCAGGCTGTTAACCAACAAATCAGCAGTTCAAATCCACCACCCACTCCTTGGAAACCCTATGGGACAGTTCATCTCTGTCCTACAGAGTCACTATGAGTTGGAATTGATTTGATGGCAATGGGTTTTTTAATCTTTACAGAAGCAGACTGCCACATCTTTCTCCCCCCAGCAACTGGTGGGTTCCCACCACCGACCTTTTGGTTAGCAGCCAAGTGCTTTAACCACTGCACCACTAGGACTCCTTAAAGAATCCTTAGATAAAGTAAGATTTTTTTCATAAATTCCATTGATACAGAGGAAGGTTTCTAGACACTGCTCTTCTATAATCAATTTGTCTATATATAAACTTATAGCACGGTTTCAGTTTATCAAAATTTTGTATTTTAATGTCTGGTGGGGCAAGTCTTTCCCACCCACACCCTTGTTCTTCATTTTCCTTGGCTATTTCCTGTGTGAACTTCAGAATGAGCTGTCAAATTCAATGAGTTGTCTGTTCAGAACTGTTTGTGACTTTTATTAAACTGCATTGAATTTGCTGATTTGTGGAGAACTGACATCTTTATAATATTGAATCTTTTTATGCCCAAACATAGTATGTTTCCACTGATGTTGGTCTTGTATTTATTTCAGTACAGCTTTAAACAAAAAGTTCTTGCACATTTCTCATCGTTGGTTCCCGCTTCCCCACCCCCAATCAAATTTTCTAAATGGAAGGTTATTACTTTTTCTGATGATGGAAAAAAAATGCTATCATTTATCAAATCATCTTGGAATTAACTCAAAGAAACCAGAGAATTGGTAGTAACTCAAGTGTTCATCAATAAGGAACTGGTTAAACAAACCATAGAATATCCACACAATGGAACATTACGCAGCCTTAGTAGGAAAGAAATCTCTCAATGTACTGACATATAGAAAGAGCGCTAAGATATCGTTTAGGTGTAAAAAAGATACAGTGTATGTAGTGTGTTACCTTTTGCCTAAGGAAGGTGTAGAGAAAAAATGCATCAAGAAACTCTGGAAGGACACACAAACTAAACTGGTGAGGAAGTGAGAGGCTTTACAGACAGAAGGCTGTTCATATTGTTTTGATTTTTGAACCAGAAGGATCTACTAGCTATTAAAAAAAAATTGGAGAGAACAGAACAAAAAATAAATATCTACTCTTTAAGATAAGCCCACCACCCAAAGATTCTAAGATGTGTGATTCCTAAACCAGGTTGATAATAAGTAAATATTCTTAGAGCCCATGTACTGGATTACTACTCAGGAGGCTGATCCACAGGGAAGTGTGCTCCTGGGAGAATAAATACTATGCTATTTAAAACTCTGAGATTTTTGGATAGTGAGGCATAAATCCTTAATTTTTATTAAAAAAGAATAACCTTTTGATAGTCATTTGATGCAGGATGGAAGAAAAAGACTAACCTTTATCAAGGAATAAAACTAATTTTAGCATAATTGTTACACCAGTAATAAAATACACAGTACAGCAGTTTTAGAAAGCAGCTGGGAACTCATCAAATGTGTTCTGAAAGAACCAGCTCTTATTTAAGTATGTCAGGGCTGCTGACATACTTGTTTTTACTTGTTCTGTTGTGGACTTTCCTCCCAGACCAGGGACTGGTATTCCCAGGGGTTTCCTGTGGTGGTTTACTTTATAATAACGATGCTTCTGTAGCCAGTGTGTGATCGCCATTTGTAAAATAAAATACCTTTTTATGACTATCCTAACATTCATGGCCAAAGTTAAAATTTAACAAAGATAAAATGTGAATCTTAATAATTTTTTAAACAATGTTGTGGGTTTAAGTAGATAGGCCTCTTATTGTATTGTTGCTGGGTGCCATGAGTTGATTCCAACCCATAGCAACCCCATGTGACAGAGTAGAACTGCCCTATAGGGTTTTCTTGGCTGTAATATTTTTTAAATTCTTAAAATTTATTTTCTTGTTGTTGACAATATACACAGCAAAACATACGTCAATTCAACAGTTTTCACTTGAAACCG